GATCTATGGGGTTCATACCTGCAGTTTAGACTGAAATGGTCTCCCCTGTGACAGCCAAACTAGATCCTCTAGGGAAAATCCTTGATAAGAGACAGCAAGGGCAGGTTTCCAGGAAGGCAGGGTCGGAGCAGGCGGCCCACCGTGTGTGGTCATAAAGCCACAGCAGTGGCATCTTTTGTCCTGTCGCTTGATGCAAGACAGCATGACGGGTTGCTTCACACCTTTGTGAAGACAGGTGGCCTGGCCCCTCATTCCAGACCTGTGTGTCTTTATGGTCCTGTGTCCCCTTGGATGTGGCAGAGGTTGAACCCTTGTCCACTCCCAGACTAACTGCATGCTGCCAGCTGACTTGCCTGCAGTCTGGCTCAGGGCTGGAGACGGCAGCCCAGCGCCCGTAACTGGAGGCACAGTTTCCTCATTACTAGAATTCGCTTCAAGTTCAAACAGATCACCACAAAACCCCCTGCAGTGGCAGCTTGCTGCCGGATTTAGCCTGGTGGTTGGTTCATGAGCTTTAAATGTTCACTGAGACACATCTGGGCCCAGTCAGCAAGAAAGTGCCAGCGACAAGTGGGGCCGGAGGGGCCACTGCAGGCTGGGCCCTGGGGTTCCCTGGCAGCCAGCGCAGGAAGAGTTGGCGCTCCGGGCTCGCAGCGTCCCCATCCGTCAGGTATCACCTAGGGCCCACTCGGTGTCAGCAGCTCCTGGATGCTGCGGGGCTGTGGGGACAGCCCCAGCCCCTCGTGCAGGACTCAGGCTGCAGTCCTCTGCCGCTGTCCTCAGCCCCACCGGCTCTGGAAAAGCCTCCATCCCACCACCAGCCCGTGCCCTTGACTCCACCCCAAACGGCCGCGGCAGAACCCAGGCTGAGCTCCCCCAGCTCTCCACCCGGGCCTGCGCCACGCCCTCCGCCCGGCTCGCGGCGACAGCTCCAGAAGCAAACACGAGCCTGGCCCTCCGGCCGAGCCTTGCGCAGGTCGTGCCGGCCTGGAGCGCCTGCTCTCATCCTGCGACATCTTCCTCACCAAGGCTCCGTTTAAACAGCAAGAGACCGCCCTGGCTCCTGGCCTCTCCCACCTCCGCGCCCCACTGCACCTCAGGGGCCGCCTGTGCACGGCGGACGCCGCACGACAGCCGACGCTCGCCGGGCTCCGCGCTTGACCTCGCCCGTCCTCACGGGCGTCCTTGAAGTGGGTACCGTTGTTGGTGCCATTTTGCGGGTGCAAAACCCGAGGCTCAGGGAGCTTGAATGAACGCCAAGGGGCTCCCGGCTCCGAGCAGTCAGTTCCCGCAGGCCCGCGGGAGCCGCGCGCGCCCTTCGGCGGGGCCAAGGCCCGGTCCCCCGCCCCTCCGCGCCCCAGTCCCCCTGCCGAGGGCTGGACAGCATCGCCGTCAGGCCCAGGGGAGGAGGCGTCCCAGGTGTGGCTCCCGGGGCGTGACTCGGGCGGGTCACCCGCTCCCCTCCGCCGCGGCCTCGGCCGTGGCCCGTGTGCATCTGCTGAGAAGGGAAGGCGCCCCGGGAGGCAGGGGCGTGGGAGCGCCTGCGTTTCCGCGGAGACGCCCCCGCCGCCGGGGCCGTGCGCCTCCCAGCCGGCCAGGCCCTGGGCCTGGGGGCGGGCCAGGGGGCCTTGGTCACCGGCCTGGCGTGGGGTCCAGGCTGTGGTTGCTCGAGAAGGGGCAGCGGGAGAGCTTTAAGTGAGACTTGGGGAAGAACTGGGTCCGTTCCAACTCGGGGAAGCCCTAGATCCCTCTCCTGACGGAAGGCCCCCAGAAGGCCTGCCTGGCCTCAGGCTCTGAGGCCAGACCCCTCTCCACCCCGCCCGCCCCCGTGGCCCAGCCTTGGGGATTTCCTGTGTCGGGCACTGGCCAGCCCGCCGTCTGGGGAAGCCTGAGGGTGGAGAAGGTGGCATCTGGAGAAAGCCCTGCTCCCCCACAGTCTGGCCTGATTTGAGAACCCCCCTCTTCTGGGGGCGTTCACGCAGGCTGGCTCCTCCCGGGTGAATCACCATCGTTATTTATTCATTCATTCACATATTGTTCAGGGCCGAGGCAGGGGACTCAAGTGGTTAAGAGCACGGGCGTGGGCTCCAGACTGCATGGGTTCAAATCCCAGCACTTAGCTTATGAGCTGGGGCCACCTATTAATCTCTCCGTGCCTCAGTTTCCCCATCTGTGAAGTGGAGGGAGGAATGGTACCTACCGGAGAGCCTCACTGTGAGGCTAATATGTGATCACAGACGTAAAGGTCTCCTGACCCACGGGAAGTCCTTCCTGTTAGCAGTCGAGGGAGGTCGGGGCGATTCTGCGGACTGGTATTGTTTGAACACCCAGGTGACAACTAGATAGCCACTTTATAATAATTATAGTTTTATAATAAACTACATTTTTTTGGAGTTTTCTATGTATTTCCCAATAAAAAATTTTAAAACTTTTTACGTTTGTCTCATCTCCCCCCAATATTCTTTTATCTATTCGTCACCTCCTTCCCTCACATTTGCTTGTTCTTGTTTGTTTGTTTGTTTAATCCTTTGGTCGCCCGCTCGCGCCCCCCAGGCACTGAAGTGAATCCTAGTGGTTCCCGACACAGGGCTGGGAGCTGCTCCCGGAGCTCTGGCCTCCTGGGCTCTGGCAGCCTGCTTTCTGCCGGGGCACGTGAGGAGCGAGGGGAGGCAGGGGGAGGCCCAGGAGGGAAGCGGGAAGGAGCAGTTGATGGCTGGGCGCGGGGTCGGGGCCGTGTCTGCGGACTGGCCGCCTGGCCAGGCGGTTGCACAAGAGCGGAAAGGCCGGGGGAGGAGGGGAAGGGAGCGCCGTGGTGCACCGGCGCCCAGCAGGTCCTGCTTGCAGCAACCCTGACTACTTCCTCTGCCCTGTCCCCTCGCCACACCACGGGGAGCAACGGGCGAGTCGAGTCTGTGCAGGGGCCTCAAGGCAGCACCATGGGCCAGGGAAGGCTGGAGACAAGCTGAGTCCCTGAGGGAGGGGGCCTTGAGCGAATAATCAAAGGACAGCACTCAGCAGGGAGCTGAGTGCCCCGTGCTGCCCTCCCAACCACGTGCACTTAATCTATTCTCGCTCTCCAACTTTTTGTTGCAGCAAAACACCCACAGCAAAAGGCCCTGCGCCGATCTCAGTGCTGAGGGCTGGGTTCATTGCTGGAAAGTGAGCACACTTGTGGAACCAGCATCCTTAGCAAGCAGGAGCCCGTCACCTGCCTTCTCCCGTGTCCCTGCAGTCCCTGCTGGCCCCCCACCGCCCCCACCCCCGGCCCAGAGGTCACCCTGGCTTCCAGCACCATTGGCAGGCATAGGCAGTGTTTGAGCTTAGGATAAATGGGTTCCTGCCAAAGGCATGTTTTGTAAGGCGTGCTTCGCGTCTGCCTTCTCTCCTCCACACTGCATCTGGAAGGTTCACTCGTGTGTGGCAGTTCCTGTTCATCGCTGAGTAGTGTATCCTGTTCAGGAGGATCCTAGATACATAAATGGAAATGTCCAGAGAAGGGACTTGAAAGGCTGGCCACACCAGGGCTGGTGACCTCTGGGTGAGGTGGGGGAGCAGCAGTGACTGGAGGGGACATGCCTGCCGAGCAGATCTTTCACAGCGGAGGGAATGGACCCTGTGCTTCTCTGATAAACCCCTCTTGGGGCCGGCCCCCTGGCAGAGTGGTTAAGTTCGGTGCAGTCCACTTTGGTGGCTTGGGTTTGTGGGTTCAGATCCTGGGCATGGACCTACACCACACTGTGGTGGTGACCCACATATAAAGCAGAGGAAGATTGGCACAGATGTTAGCTCAGGACTAATCTTCCTCAGCAAAAATCCCCAAAAAACCAAAAAAAACCTCTTCCAAATGCCAACTGTCACCCCAATGGTCCAAGGGGACCCGTGGCTCTCAGTGCTCCCCGTGATGGCCTTTTTCATCTCTCTCAACCTTGGAATCTGCAGATCTGACCACACGCTGGCTCTGCCCCCCTGAGCCTACACCCAGACTGCCTGGGTCTGAGGCCATCTGCTGTGTGACCTTGGTCCATCTCCATAACCTCTGAGCCTCCCAGACCCCCACCTGCCTGGCCCTAGCACCCCAGGCTTTAGTGAGAGAGGCTCCAGCCTGTCCCCCTGCCCACTGCTCCCCTCCTCACCTCTTCCTCCCAGAGCCCCTTCCCCATGGCCCCATTTTACTCAGGACGAAAACCAAGTCATCTCTGAGATCCACTCTTTGATCAGGATTGTAACCCAGCTCTCACTCAGCATCTGTCCCAGCTGCCGCTGGCAATTCAGCACGCTCAGACACCCAGGGATGTGTGCCTGACACTTGCACACATTCCCGGAGAGGCATTCATTCATTCATTCGTTCATTCAGTGAGTGACGCAGTTACTCTCCACGTGTTTATGGAGGGCCCACTGCGTGCCAGGTACCAGTTCTAGGAGCTGGGGCCAGAGGCCTTAGCGAAACAGGCCAAGCCCTTGCTCACATTCTGGTAAGGAGAGACATTGTAAAAAAATAAAATAGGTAATATGTCAGTCATGGTAAGTGCTCTGAATACAAACAGGAAAGCCGGGGTGGGGGGAGCATGAAGTTTTGCTATTTTGTGTGAAGTTATCAAGAAAGGCCTCTCAGAGGAGGTGCCATTTGAGCAGAAACCTGGAGAAAATGTGGAGGAGTTACAGGTGTGTGGGAGATGGTCCAGGTGGAAGCGCCAGTGCAAAGGCCCTGAGGTGGCAGCAGCTTGGTGTGTTCCAGAACAGCAGAGAGGCCAATGCAGCTGGCCCAGAGAGAGCTGGGCACCTCCCCTCGCCAACCGGTTGGGCCTGGTAGGCCACAGAGAGGACAAGGGCCACATGTCCAGCATGTCGGGCACACGGGCATGCGTCCGGCCGCCCACGTCCACCCTGTGGGAGCCTGAAGAGTCCCAGAAACTGAAAGAAGAAGCAGAGCCCTTTCTGCGCCCTCCCTGATCCCTCCTGCCCCCAGCCCTGCCGCCACACATGGGACTTCCTCTTTCCAGCCCATTTAAAGCCCAGCCCGGGAACGCCCCGGAGCAGTGGAGGCCACGCGCAGCCCCGCCATGGGGGACACCTTCATCCGCCACATCGCCCTCCTGGGCTTCGAGAAGCGCTTCGTCCCCAGCCAGCACTACGTGAGTAGCCGCAGCGCCTGCGAGCGCGCAGAGACAGCCCCGGGCGCGGGTACCAGACCGTGCTGTCCCCGCGCAGTCCCCAGGGCCACCGGCCGAGACGCGGGCGCTCCGGGCGGGCGGCAGAGGGTGGAGAGCCGGGATCGCGGGCAGACGGCTCCGCGTCTCTGGCCTCAGCTGCCCGTCGGGGTCCGCGGTGGATGCACGCCCTTAAAAAGATGTGCGCTCTCGCACCCCTGACTCTGAGGGGCGGGGACGGCCAGCCTCGCCACCCCCCACCTCGTCCCGCCAGCCCACCTCACTCCCTGCTCCCTCGCCCCAGCCAGGAGCACCTCCTCGGCAGCTGTCCATGTCCCCGAGACCCCGCGCACACGTCCAGGGCGCGTGCCTCCGGGCAGCCCTCCCTGACCATCTCTGCTCTCAGGGAGGAGTCCTCTGGGAAGGAGGCTGGCAGCGGGCTCTCTGTCCCCTCAGTCGCCCGTGGGGTCAGTTCCATTAGAGTCCTATCCCCTCCAGTAGGGTGACAGCACGAGGGGGGTCAAAAATGCCCCCCCTCCTGCCCTGGTGGCTGGGGAAGTGTCTGCCCAGACGTGCCACCTCCCCTAGGGTCCCCAAGGCTGAGGAGGGCCAGGGAGGAGCTCCACTTAGTAAATTGTATGGCATTTGTATGGTACATTTAGCAATGTGCCAAGACCTTTTTTTTTACTTTTAATTTTGAAATAACTTCAAATTTGCAGAGAGGTTGCCCAAAAAAGTACCAATAACTTCACCCACATGCTAGCTCCCTCTCTCTCTCTCTCTCTCTCTCTTCTTCCCTTTCCTTCCCTCCGCCTCTACCAGGTTTCTCTCTCTCTGAATATAACTTTTCTGAATCATTATAATACTAAGTCGCAGAGAACGTGTTTCTTGACCCCTAAACACTATGATGTGTATTTCTCAAAATCAAGGACAGTCTCTTACATAACCAAATGTGTCAAAATGAGGAAATTGACCTTGAGGAAACACTATTATCCAACCTACAGACTTTGTTCCAATTTACCCATTGTCCTACTTGTCCTCTGTAGCAAAATCTTTCAGGACGAGGGTCCGATCCAGCGTCACCTGAGGCATGTCAGTGCTCACGTGTTTGTAGCCCTCCTTAATCTGGGTCGGTCTTAATCAGCCTTTCTGTGTCCTTCCCAGCTCTGGCATTTTGAAGAGAAGGGCCGGTTATTTTGTAGAATGTCCCTCAATTTGGGTTTGTCTGATACTTCATTAGATTCAGGTTATGCATCGGTGGCAGGAATATTCCAGAAGTGACACTATGTTCTCATTGATCCTATCAGGTGGCAGGTGACTTTGACTTGTTCCCATATTTGGTGATGTTAATTTGAGTAGGAGTCCCAGATGTGTCCTCCAAGCTTCTCTACTGTAAAGTTACTATTTTCCTCTTTGTAATTAACAACCGACCTGGGAGGAGATGATTTGAAACTTTGTGAATATCCTGTTCCTTAGAGAACATTGATGACTCTAGCCTGAAATTGATTGCCAGATAGTGACTTTTTTAAACTCTATCATTCCTTTGCATTTATTAGTAAACATTTTACTTAAAAGTCTTTCCTTTTTCCTTATTATTTACTTATGTCAATACGGATGCACAGATCTCTACTTTATTTAATGGGTCATAATCTATTACTGTCATTACTTATAGATGCTCAGATTGTCCCAGCTTTGGCCTGTGGGAGCTCCTTCTGTGCCCTTCTGACCTATCCTGTCGTTTTTTGAGCACATTCTTACTTCTGGCACAGGGTGCTCCCAGTTTAGCCTGTCCTCTCTCAGCCCCAGCCTGGGCTCAGCGGTTTTGCCAAGGAGCCCTGGTTCTTCTAGTGAGGGGTCGTATTAGAACCAAGATCTGGAAGCTAGGGGTGCTCATTGCCACTGGGACGTCACTGCTTGTGTCCTGTCAGTGAACAGACTGGGGAAAATAGCCACGTCATCCATTCTTGCCTTTCATCTGTTTAGATTTGTAGCTCCTGTCTCTCGCCCTGAGAACCTGGTTCCCGACAAGGTTAATGTATTTCCTCTTTTGCTTGATTCTGTAATACACTCAACTTGTTTCAGAATTACTACACACACGCCATTATTATGAAGTCAGATTTAAGTTCTCTTTGCAGCTCTTTCTGTCGTTTTAGACAGAGAGTGAAAGTACTAAAAGTTTCTTGGATTGTAGCTAAAAGGTACTTGGATTTTTTCTTCTCCATTTTTCTTTTTTTTCCTTTTCTTCTTCTTCCCCAAAGCCCCCAGTACATAGTTGCATATTTTTAGTTGTGGGTCCTTCTGGTTGTGGCATGTGGGACGCCACCTCAGCGTGGCCTGACGAGCAGTGCCATGTCCACGCACAGGACTTGAACCAGCGAAACCCTGGGCCACTGAAGCGAAGCGCGCGAACTCAACCACTCAGCCACGGGCCCGGCCATTTTCCATTTTTCTTCATGATGGTTGTTTCCATTGATATATAGTTCTGTTCATTTGTTTCCACTTTTGAAGTTTAAAAAAAAACCTTGTTGATTTAATTTTATTTTTAAATATGTATGGGAGTGGCCCAGTGGTGCCGTGCTGAGGTGGCGTCCCACGTGGAGGAGCCAGAGGAATTACAACTAGGCCACACAGCTATGTGCTGAAGCTTCAGGGAGGGAAAAAAAAGGAAAAGGGGAAGATTGGCAACAGATGTTAGCTCAGGGCCGGTCATTCTCACAAAAAATAAATAAATAAAATTTAAAATAAATATGTAACGTATTAATGTGTTCAGATGTCAAAACTTCACAGGAAGATATACTCAAAGACTCATTCTAGTTTACCTTTCCTCTATTTCTCTTTGCAAAAAAACCCCACATATATATATTTTCTTATTTTTCCTTCTTTACTACACACAAATAATAAACAAGGTGACATACTATACATTTTTTATCATTTTCCATATCCTGGAGTGCCCTCCGAATTAGTTCATTAAATCTGTCTCATTTTTTAAATGTGTGTAATAGTTCGTCATGTGACTATGCCATTGTTCGTTCATTTAGATTGCTTTCACTAACTTGCATTTACCTAATCAACCTGCATTTATGTTATTATAGGTAACATTGAACACTTCTTTATATGTTTAAGGGTTACATATTTATATGTGTTCTCCATGAACTGTTTGTGCCTTTTGCACATTTTTCTATCAGATTTTTTGTCTTTTTCTTTCAAATTTAAAAAAGTTCTTTATACATTAGGAATATTAACTCTTTATCTGTGATACGTATTGCAAATATTTCCTCCCAGTTTATCATTTGTCTTTTGGCTTTGCTTACGGTCTTACATGCTAAAGTTTGAAAAAATATTAATGCATTTGCAATAGCAATCTTTCACTGCCTGTGGGTTTTGAGTCAGTTAGAAAGGCTTTCTGTGTACCCGTGTTTCCTTCTAGGACTTACATGGGTTCAGTTTTTGCATTTAGATCCCTGATCCACTTGGAGTTTATTCTGGTGTGTGGTGTGAAATATGAGCCAAATTTTACCTCTTCCTAAAAGGCTAGCCAGTTGTCCCAAGACCAAGTTTTTAAAAATCCACCTGTGCCCCTGTGACTTGAGATACCACTTTTAACATAGCCTAAATTGCCAAATGTACGTGGATCTATTTCTAGATTTTCTGTTCTATTCCAATGGTTTTTTGTTCTCGCGCCACTACCATACTGTTGTGATAAAATGGACATGACGAAATTTACCATCTTCACCGTTTTTAAGCGCCCAGTTCAGTGGCATTAAGCACATGCACACTGTTGTGCAGCTGTCACCACCATCATCTCCAGAACTTCTTCATCATCACAAGCTGCACGTCTGTCCCTGTGAAACACTAGCTCCCCGCTGCTCCCTCCTCCCGGCCCCTGGTGACCACCATTCTGCTTTCTGTCTCCATAAATTCGACTATTTCAGGTATCTGTTATAAGTACAATCATACAATATTTGTTCTTTTGTGTCTGCCTTCTTTCACTTAACATAATGTTTTCAAGGTTCATCTGTGTTGTAGCATGTGCCAGAATTTTTTTTCTTTTTAGGGCTGAATAATATTCCATTGTGTGTATAGACCATATTTTGTTTATCCGTTCCTCCTTCAATGGACATTTCCATTGTTTCTGCCTTTTGGCTGTTGTGACAAATACTGCTATGAGCACGGGTGGACAAATCTCTGTTTGAGTCTGTTTTCCATTCTTTTGGTTGTGTACCCAGAGGTGGAATTGCTGGGTCATATGGTCATTCTGTGTTTAATTTTTTGAGGAAACGCCATCCTATTTTTCTTAGCAGCTGCACCATTTTACATTCCCGCCATAAGAGCACAAGCATTCCAGTTTTTCCACATCCTCACCAACATTTGTTTCTTTCTGTTTTCTGGGTTTTTTTAATAATAGTTCTCCTGACAGGTGTGGTGCACACTGTTTTAATGATAAAGCGTTTACAGCCTGTTTTCATAGCTCATAGGGATACTGTCCCTACGTAGCTCTTCTTTTCCAGGGGTTTCCTAGCTGTTCTCTCTCCCCTTGCTCACTTCCTCACATGCCGTCCACGGCTGCTTTTGTGCTAAAACAACCAAGTTGGGTAGTTGGGACAGAGACCACAGAGGCTGCAAAGCGTGACGTGTTCACTCTCTGGCCCTTTACAGAGAACGTTTCGTGACCCCCCTGGTCTGAGACGTGGTTCCTAGAATTAGAATCACCAGAAGTTTATCCTGAGCCCGCCTCAAGTTCATCTTCCTCGTCCTTCTAAACCACTTTACCGATTATAATTTCATACCAAATAGTTCACCCATTGAAAGTGCGTGGTGGTTTTTGTATGTTTACCCATTTGTCCAACCATCATAATCTAATGTTAGAACACTTTTCTCACCCCCCCAAAACCTTGTACCCACTGACAGCTGTTCTTTTTATGCCTCAGTATTTTATTCTGAAGAATTCCAAACATACAGCAAAGCAGAAAGAATTTTACAAAAAATAAAACAAAACAAACAAAACCCCAGCTGCTCCTCAGCCAGACCTGGACTCCACCGTCAACACTGCCCTGTAGCTGCTTCATCACGTGTTTCTCCATCCATCCTGCAATCTACCTTATTTTGGGGGCATTGCAAAGCATATTGCAAACATCAGTACACTTCGTCCTAAACCCTCAGCATGCATATCGCTAACTAGAATTCATCTGTTTATAGTTTTTTCTCTTTTGATGTAAAATGTATGTAAAATGAAATCCACAAGTCTTAGAGACACATTTGCTGAGTTTTGATGGTTCCTATGTAACCCAAACCCTCATCGAGATATGGAGCATCACCGCCACCCCGGAACATTCTCCCACAGGCCAGTCATTCCTCCACCTCCCCGAGAGGCCACCACTGTTCTGATTTGTTTCCACCTTAAATTAGCTGCGCTTGCTCTAGAATGTCGTAGATATGGAATCATACGGTGTGTAACCTTTCGTGTCTGATCCTTTCACGCAGCGTGATGCTCTTGAAATTCCGCCATGTGGTTGCATGTATCAAGAATTCATTCCTTTTTCTGGCTGAGTAGTATTCTTTGACCTATTTTTGCAGGCTTAATTTTCCTTACTGAGATCTTCTTTTTTCTTTCTAACAATGGCTTTATTGAAATATAATTCCCATACCATACACTCCACCTATGGAAAGTGTACAACTCAGTGGCTTTTAGCATATTCACAGAGCTGCACAACCAACACAGCTCTCAATTTTGGAAGATTTCCATCACCACCCAACAGAAACCCCGTACCCTTTAGCAGTCACTCCTCAACCCCCACCAGCCCCGGCAACCACTGGTCTGCTTTCTGCCTCTATGGATTTGTCTGTTCTGACACTTCCTATTACTGGCACCACACGGTACCTTGCTGCGTTCTCGCGTTGTGTCAGCTGAGCCCTTTCTGCATCGTAGCCTTCTAACTCTCTAGGAGTGAGGTCCTACTTCTATGTCCCGTTTACAGAGTTGGAGTTACTATGGAGTTGCGGGACGATAATTATGGAATTGTAGGCAGTGGACTTATTATCAGAGAGATGGGTCATCTTGCCCTGGGTGCTAAAGGTGGAAAGTGGCACCTCCTGGGTCCGTGAAGTTGGTGTCCTTTCTGTGGCCCAGGCTGCCCCAAAGAGTGCCCCCCCAAGTTCTGAGGGCTCCCACCAGGGGCTGGGGGGCTTCCTGGGGGCGTGGCCAGGCCCCCTCGGAAGCTGAACAAGGGCCCCTGCCCCGGCCCCCCCCAGGTGTACATATTCCTGGTGAAATGGCAGGACCTGTCCGAGAAGGTGGTCTACCGGCGGTTCACGGAGATCTACGAGTTCCACGTGAGTGCCTGGCGGGGGCGGGGGTCGAGGAGGGGACGCCATCCAGTCCCAGCTCCGCCCCGTGGGGAGGAGGGCGCCCTGGTGCCAGCAGGAAGCTGAGGAACCTGGAGTCCCCTCGGCCCAAAGGGAGGAATTATTATTTTTTAACTTTTAAAAACATTTTACTTAAAGTATTGCTATTGTGGTAAAATATACATAACATAAATTTACCATTTGAACCATTTTGAAGTGTACAGCTCAAAGGCATTAAGTACATTCACAGTGTCGTGCAACCATCACCACCATCCATTTCCTAAACGTTTCCATCTCCCGCATAGAAACTGTACCCATTCAACACCAACCCAGGGGGCATTCCTAAGGGATGCGCTGGCTCTGTCCCTGCTGGGGTGGCCTGGCTAGTGTCACCACCACGGCTGTCAGCCCAGGACAGTCACTGGCCTGCTGAGGACCCCTGGTGGGTCAGAGGGAGCACTGATAATCCTGACACCAGAAGCCTGGGGCCTCTCGCCTAGTGGGGCCCGCAGCCCCCAAGGTTTACATGAGCGAATCCCAGGGGCCCTAAATCCTCTCGGGGTCCCCACACCAGGTGCTGGTTGGACAGCTTTGGGGCTGGTCATCAGGGGTCACGCTGTGCAGAGCTTGGCTGCTGGGTCCTGGTCTGAGAGGGGTCAGGTGGATGGAGGGTCCATAAAAGCCACATGGGTCCCCCAAGAGCCCACTCCATATACAGGACCCTCCTTAACCAGGGAAGGGAGCCTGCGCACCGTCGGGTTCCCGCGCTTCTCTTGTGTGAGAAATGAGAAACGTAAAGTGAAATGCAAAGAAGGTTGGAGCCGCCACTCACCAGCGCCGCGAAGCCCCACTGATGGCACTGGGCCGTCTGCCACCAGGCTTTTTTAAGATAAAGGAAATAAAACATTACAAAAGAAGCAGAAGACTCCCTTCATCCATAGCCCTGTCCCAGCTCCTCCCTGGGTGGCTGCATGCACGCTCATACACACACACACACAGACACACACACAGACACACACACTGACACACACACATACATACACACAGGCACAGACACACAGACACAGACACACACACAAAGACACAGACACATACACACAGACACATAGACACAGACACACACACAGACACACAGACACACACAGAGTCCAGGAAGAGTGTGCAGTGGTGTTGTGTGCGCATCTCCGTAGTCTGTATGGAAGCCGTGAGCGCGGCTGGCTTCCTTCCCTATCTCATTGTCACTGGGTTGCGTTTTTGAGACGTGTCCACCCTGATGCGTGTGCGGCCCCATCAGCTCCTTGGACCGCCCCAGGCTGTTACCTGTGGGTTAGCCTCTTGTGCTAATTGGCAGTCTCATCCACTCATTCAGCAGTTCTTTGTTGAGCCCTACTAAGTGCCAGGTGAGCAGGAGACGCAGCTGAAGGTGACCAGGGTATAAAAACCGGATGCAAATCCCTCCCCTCTCCTGTACCCTTAAGTTCTAGCGGAGTCATCAGAATAACAGACAAACAAAAAGATAAGCAATTTATATAGTGTGTTAGGTGATGGTTAGAACTGTGGAGAAACATAAAGCAGGGGGAGGGATGGGGAGGCCAGGTAAGGAGAGACAATTGTCAGGAGAAGGCCTCACTGAGCGGGTGACATCTGAGCAAAGACTTGACGAAGGAGAAAGAGCACACTATTGAGATATGTGGGGGAAGAATAAGAATAGCATGTGCAAAGGCCCTGGGGTGGAGTGAGCCTGGAGCTTTCATGGGTGGCTGGAGCAGAGTGAACAGGGGGAGGGTGGTGGCGGAGGAGGTGAGCGAGGGAGCAGGGGCAGGTCACATGGGGCCTTGTAGACCAACATGAGGCCTTGGGCTTCCACTCTGAGAGAGCTGAGAGGCAGGGAGGGTCTGAACAGAGCAGGGACAGGATCCAGCTTAGGTTATAAGAGGATCCCTCTGGGTGTGGATGGAGGACAGACAAGGGTGGAAGGGAGACTCATCGTAATAATCCAGGCCTGGTGGAGGTGGGGGTGGTGAGAAGGGCCTGGCACAGATTTGGGGAGTAGAGCTAAAAGGATTTGCGGGTGGCTTCGATGTGAGGTGAGAGAGAAAGAGAGGCAGCAAGGATGCCACCAGGAGTGTCTAGGGCGAGCGACTGGAAGGGGATTTCGGTCGTTTCCGATTTTGTGCTTTTACAGTAATAAAGAACGTTCCTTCACGTCTTTTCTGTCCAGAAAACGTTAAAGGAAATGTTTCCTATCGAGGCGGGGGACATCAAGTCGGAGAACAGGATCATCCCCCACCTGCCAGGTGAGGCGCGGGCCTCCGGGCCGGGGGTCGCCCGCCCCGCCCCCTCCCCTGCCCCCGGGCCGCCCTTCCCGCCCCGGTGGATCCACCCTCGCCGCGCTCACCCTGTCTCCGCCGCCCGCCCGCCAGCCCCGCGGTGGTTTGACGGGCAGCGCGCCGCCGAGAGCCGCCAGGGCACGCTCACCGAGTACTGCAGCGCGCTCATGGGGCTGCCCACCAAGATCTCCCGCTGCCCCCACCTCCTCGACTTCTTCAGGGTGCGCCCTAACGACCTCAAGCTCCCCGCGGACAGCCAGTGAGTGGCCTCCTCGTCCTGTTCAACGAGGCGGGACAGGGAGGGGTGGTGAGCCCGCCCTGGAGGGGGTGGGACTTTCCTCATGTTACAGATGAGGCGACTGAAGCTCAGAGAAGGGTAGCGACTTGCCCCAAGTCACACAGCTGGAAAGAAAAGGGGGCAGGATTCCAAATCTGGCCTCTGTGATCGGAGCCGCCCAGCACCCCCGCCAGCTCTCTGCCTGGCCCCCTCTGAGCCTCGCGGTGCCAGGGTCGGAAGCCCTGGGTCCTCATCCTGACTCTGCGTCTGCCGGGAGCCTTCGGAAAGCAGTTTCCCGTCTGTGACGGGATGTTGAGGGCCTGATGCGGTAAGGGGTGCTGTGGAGAGCGTCTACACACTGTCAAGTGTGGAGCCCAGAGAGAATGCGGGCGTCCCAGGCCCCTGCCTCCCCTTTGTCACCTCATTCTCTGCCTGCCCGGGCCCCAGGGTCTCCTGGACTCTGCGCCCTGCGGGGAGGCGTCGGAGAGGCTGAGTGAGATCCGGGGAATGTGCTCTCCCGCCCCAGGCCGGCGGGGGAAGGCCCCCTCTGGTCACTGAGTGTGGGGGTTGCCCACAGACAGGCTGCCACAGACAGACAGAGACACTCCGGCCAGTGCTTGTTGACCCCTGAATGCATGCCGGGGCCAGGGGAGGGCGGCCCCCATGGGCCCGGGGTGGTGGTGGGGGCGCCCACTCCCCGTTGGCTGCTGGCTGAAAGCTTCAGAAGAAGGGAGCTGGCCCCTGGGCTGATGGGACCCTTCCCACACTCCCAGCAGAGCTCTCCGGTGGCCCGGGGGCAGGGGCTTTGCCCCCTTCTCCAGTTGGCCCCTCCTCCTTGGGGTCTGCAGGAGGCTGGCCCCCCCCCAGCCCCCCATGGTCTGAGCAGCCCCGCAGTGTCCGTTCGCTACCTTCTCTCTGCAGTGGGCCATTTCCCACGTCCCTTTTTCTCTTGGGAAGTTCTTCTCTAGGTCTGTCTGGACCTTCCCGCTCCCCAGCGGGAAGCTGAGGGTCCAAGCCAGACTGTTCTCTCCCGCAGAGTGAAAAAGCCAGAGACTTACCTGATGCCCAAAGACGGCAAGAATAACATAGGAGGTGAGAGCGCGGGGCCAGCCATGCGCGGGTCACCCTAAGGAGATTGTTGACACGATCAGGGACCCTGCGTGCCGGTGGGCAGGAGAACGAGCAGGAGGGGAGAGTGACCGTGAAGGGTCTTGGTGCTGCTCTGAAGATCTAAAGGGTCTCGGGGTCACCGAACAAGGAAGGGGGCTCCTTGCAGATGTCAGCGCTTCCCCCGCCTCCGCCCAGCGCCGACCCTGGCTCCCATCAGCCCTCGGCAGGCTATGGCTGAATGAACGAACAGGCTTGGGGGCCAACCTGGCCTGCGCGGGTGTCGCAGGGGCACGACAGTGTCTAATCTCTATTGCACGATAATTGTTAATAACACTAGGTAACATTTACTGAGCTCTTAGTCTGTGCCAGATGCTGCTTTAAAGAGTTTTCCCTGTGTTAACTGGTGTAAGGCTCTCCGTAACAAGATGAAATAGGTGCGCAGTGTTACGACCCACTTTACAGCTGGACGCACTGGGGCTTGTTTCTTTTTTTAATTCTTTTTTTTTATTGCAGTAACATTGGATTATAACATTATATAAATTTCAGGTGCACATCACTATAAATTTCGATTTCTGTGTGGATTACATCATGTTCACCACCCAAAGACTCATGACAATGCATCACCACACACACTGCTTAATCACCCCTTTTCCCTCCCCCTCCCCCTGTGGTAACCACCAATCCAATCTCTGTTGCTATGTGTTTGTTTGTCGTTGTTTTTATCTTCTACTTATGAGTGAGATCATACGGTATTTGACTTTCTCCCTCCGACTTATTTCACTCAGCATAATACCCTCAAGGTCCATCCATGTTGTCACAAATGGCCGGATTTCATCATTTCTTACTGCTGAGTAGTATTTCCATAGTGTGTATGTACCACACCTTCTTTATCCATTCGTCCCTTGATGGGCACCCAGGTTGCTTCCGACTCTTGGCTATTGTGAATAAGGCTGCAATGAGCATAGGGGTGCCTGTATCTTTACACATTCGTGTTTTCAAGTTCTTAGGGTAAATACCCAGCAGTGGGATAGCTGGATCACATGGTAGCTCTATCCTTAATTTTCTGAGGATACTCCATACTGCTTTCCATAGTGGCTGCACCAGTTTGCACTCCCACCAGCAGTGAACAAGGGTTCCCTTCTCTCCACATCCTCTCCAACATTTGTTGTTTCCTGTCTTGTTAATTACAGCCATTCTGACCAGAGTGAGGTGATACCTCATTGTAGTTTTGATTTGCATTTCCCTGATAGCTAATGTGCCTGTTGGCCATCTGTATATCTTCTTTGGAGAAATGTCTGTTCACATCTTTTGCCCATTTTTTAATTGGATTGTTGGGTTTTTGTTGTTGAGCTGTATGAGTTCTTTGTATATTTTGGATATTAACCCCTTATCTGATATATGGTTTGCAAATATCTTCTCCCAATCGTTAGCTTGTCTTTTCGTTTTGTTGATGGTTTCCTTGGCTGTGCAGAAGCTTTTTCGTTTGATGTGCTCTCATTTGCTCATTTTTTCTTTTGTTTCCCTTGCCCGGTCAGACATGGTACTTGAAAATATGCTGCTCAGACGAATGTCGAAGAGTGTATGCCTATGTTTTCTTCTAGAAGTTTTATGGTTTTAGGTCTTACAGTCAAGTCTTTAATCCACTTTTAGTTGATTTTTGTGCACGGTGTGAGATAATGGTCTATGTTCATTCTTTTGTCTGTGGCTGTCCAGCTTTCCCAGCGCCATTTACTGAAGAGACTCCTTTCTCTTCTTGTCTTGTACACTTGTCTTGCACACCCTTGTCCCCCTTGTCGAAGACTGGCTGTCCCCAGGGGGCTTGTTTGAAGTTGAGACTCTTGCCAGGGGGCACACAGCTACTAAGTGGTGGAGCGGGATTTCACCCCGTCCATGGGCTGCCCAGACGAGTCCTCTGGGCCACTCAGAGTGTGGTCCAGGGACCAGCAGTGTCAGTCGGCTTGGGCTGCTATCACAAGCTGTCCCAGACTGGCAGCACAAACAACAGAAACATATTTTCTCACAGTTCTGGAGGCTGGGAGTGCGAGATGAGGGTGTGGCAGGGCTGGGTGCTCCCGAGGCCGCTCTGCATGGCGTGCTGCTGCCGCCTTCTCGCTGCGTCCTCACGCGGCCTTTCCTCCGTGCGTGCGCTCCTGGCGTTGCCCCCTCTTCTTACGAGGACGCCAGTCCTACTGGATCAGGGTGCCACCTGGATGAGCTCATTTAACCTTAATCACCTTCTCTCCAAACACAGGCAGATTCTAAGGTCCTGGAGCTTAGGGCTTCAACATATGGATTTGGGAAGGGGATACAATTCAGCCCAAAACACACAGCAGCAGCATGGCCTGGGGGCTGGTTAGAAATTCAGGCTGGCGTCCCGGCACAGACCGGGCTCAGCCCCTGCACCTCAGCAAGATCCCTGGGCGGTTCGTGCACATCACAGTTGAGAAGGGCTGCTCGTCAACCACATGAGAAGGAGAATATGTTAAAGTGTGTGACTAGTGTCTGGAACACACTAGGCGCTCCATACACGCGGGGCTGTGAGCACTAGCTGCCTCTGCTGCTGTCCAGTCGGCGGGGCACGTCCACCTCTGGCGTGCCTGGAGCTGGGTGGGGACGGGGAGCCAGGGCCAGTTCTGTGGCCCACACAGGGGACGGCAGGGGAAAGCCGGGAGGAGGCGGGTCCCCTCCCCCCCGGGGGCGTCTGCTCACTCTGCCCTCCCTCTGCCCAGACATCACGGGCCCCATCATCCTGCAGACCTACCGCGCCATCGCTGACTATGAGAAGACCTCGGGCTCCGAGATGGCTCTGGCGTCCGGTGACGTGGTGGACGTCGTGGAAAAGAGCGAGAGCGGTCAGCCTCCTCGCCCTGCCTGGTCCTCCTCCCCTGGGGCCTGGGTCCATGGCCACAAGCCCCCGACCGAGGCAGCCTCGGGCCTCCTCCTGGCCTGGCGCACTGTGGGGCTCCAGCTCCTTCAGGGGCCCTGACTGTCCCCCCACACTGCGGGTCCCCCCACTCTGAGCGTGCACCCCGGGGCGCCTGTGGGTTCCTGCACATCTTCCATCCTGTGACTGTGCATCTCTGGGGTTGCACCCTGATGGGGGTGGACTTCTCATGCTGTGTGTGAAGTGGGTTCAGAGCTGTAATTCTGTGACCCTGTGTGTCCGGCTGTGTGTGATTTGGGAAGGTGATATTTCTGAATCTGCGTGTTGGATGTCTGTGTGTCTGTCTGAGTGTTCTTACCACCCCCGACGGCTGGGGAGGCTGACAGGCCCGCCATGACTCTGCCTCACACCCCTGGCACAGGCTGGTGGTTCTGCCAAATGAAGACAAAGCGTGGCTGGGTGCCGGCGTCCTACTTGGAGCCCCTGGACAGTCCAGATGAAGCGGAGGACCCAGAGCCCAACTATGCAGGTGCCCCTGCCCTCCACGGCCATGCGGGGGGAGGGACAGCAGGGGCCCGGGGGTATGGAGAAGCCAGAAGGGACTGCTTTGGGGTGGGACATGTTTATGGGTGGGGCAGAGGGGGATTCAGGGCTGAGACCCCATAGTCTGGCTTGGGGGCCTAGTAGGAGGTGATGCTCTCGGTCAGGATGGGGAACCAGGAGGTAGAGGTAGGGGGTGATGAGGTCAGCCTGGCACAGGTGATGGCTGTCGGCCTGGGGCCAGGTCCAGCAGGAAGCTGAAGGATGAGCAGAGCTGAGGCTCAGGAAGGAGGGCTGCCTGGAGGTAGGGGCATCATCGTTGACTAGAGGGGGAAAGCTGGCAGCCCTGGGGCTGGATGGGGCCCACATGGAGTTTCAAAAAAATTAGAATTAACAGCCTATATTTTAAAATGGAGAGATTTCACAATTTTATGTGGATTTATGGCTTCTCCTTAAAAACTGGGGAAGATATGGAGCCCCACATGCCAGCAGTCAGCTGGAGTTGAGTGGCTCGGGTACCATGGGGACGGGTGCTCCCCCCACCACTTCCTGGCATCCGCTTCTCATATTTAGGCGTCTGGCCAGGTCTCTGTAGTCACGGGAACTTGTGGCCCCTGGAGTGGATGGCGGAGGGTGGGAGGGGCAAGCTCACCTGAGTACAGTGGGCAGAGGGCAGAAGTCCAGGTTACACCCACAAGCGGGTAGAAGGAAGCTTCAGAGGGAGGCTAAGGAGCAGGTGGGGAGGTGGGAGGAGAGCTTGGGGAGGGGGGTCCTGGCCAGCTGATTAGGGGGTGGTGAGCCCCATGTGGGCGGACCCTCACACCATGCCCCCTCCCCCTTCTGCCCACCAGGTGAGCCCTATGTCACCATCAAGGCCTACATTGCTGCGTTGGAGGATGAGGTGTCCCTGGAGGAGGGTGAAACCATTGAGGTCATTCATAAGCTCCTGGACGGCTGGTGGGTCATCAGGTAGGAGAGCGCCCCTCCCTCCCACTGTGCCCACTCTGAGAGCCAGCCCTGGCCTGGGGCAGGGCCTGTTGGGGCTCAGTGCTGACTTGGCTGTGTGTCTCTGCATAAGCCACTACCCCTCTCTGGACTCAGTTTCCTTTTGGGTAGCAGACGAGTGATAATCCCATCCTGCCTGTTTCTCAGGATTCAGTGTCCTTGTCCGAGTGGGTACATTTTTCCTTTGTGACTTGGGTCACTTCCCCTGACCAGTCCATCCATTATTCCTTCTCCAGCAACACAATTAATTGTTGTATTGATTATTTATCTTTGAGCACTGGCAGAGCAGACCCCGTCGTCTCTTTTCCTTTAAAATTTTCATTGCAATTCCTGTTTATTCCTCCAAACGTAGGAATACTAAATTGTTTTTTTTCTGGTCCCGGGGAAAGCAGAATCCCAGGGGCATGCAGGGCCATTTCCCTGGAGCCACTGGGCCTCCCCAGGTCCTTGGACGAGTTTTCAGAGCCCTGAGTCACCGGGCCAGCCCGTGGCCCCAGCGAGCTTGTGCCACGACACCCAAGATCAGCATGGCCCTGGGCTTGGGGCTTCCAGGCAGCCTTTCCCAGCCTTTTAGATCCACACTCAGTTACGCCCCAGCATGCACCCCTGAGAATTCTTGTGATTCTCCCCCCACCAAGAAGAATCAGTTTTACTGAGCCAAGTTTGTACTATGCAAAGGTGTTTTTTTTTAACGCCCAAGTATAGTAGTGAGAATGGAAAGAAAAATCTTTTTGACAAATGGTGCTGGAACAACTAGATATCCACGTGGAAAAAAACGAACCTAGACCCTACCTCACACATACACATTTATGTGAGATGGATCACAGGTTTTATCACCAAGCACAAAGCCCCCAAAAAGAAGCTTTTGGAAGAAAGCAAAGGTTTCTTAGGACGGAAGGCAATCGCGGTAAAAGAAAAAGCCGACAAAGCAGTGTAGCAGATGTTTCACAGCAAACACACATCCTGGCGGTGATCTGGGTCCAACGTCCTCTCCCTCCCAACATCCCAGCTGGGAAGGTCTGTGTTGCACAGATGAGGAAACTGAGGCCAGAGGGCGGGGGCTGGTGTTAGCCCGGCGTGGCGTTTGCAGCCTCCCTGCCTGCCTTGAGCCCCGCTGCTAGAGGGAGCCCTGACCCCCGCCCACCCCACGTGTGGGCCCCCCACCCCGTTCCAGCCACTGACCAGGCCTGAGGGCTGCCTCTGTTGCAGGAAAGACGACGTCACCGGCTACTTCCCGTCCATGTACCTGCAGAAGGCGGGCCAGGACGTAGCCCAGGCCCAACGCCAGATCAAGAGCCGAGGGGCGCCGCCCCGCAGGTGAGCGAGTCCCCGGGGCTGGGGCCTGGGCGGGGTGGTGGAAGGGGTACCGCCGGTTCCCCCTGTCAGTCCGGGCCTTGGACTGGCAGTGCTGGCGCAGGGGACACGGGCGGGCTTTCCCAGCCTGGCGGGGGCGGCAGCACCCTCACCGGCTCAAGAGCCTGGTCGAGCCCTCCCCACCGTGGGGCTGGCACGGGGCGGCAGGACAGCAGGGGTGTGGGGTGCTGGGGAAGGCGCCAATGCCTGGGTCCTTGAGGATGGCCATGAGGGCTGTGGCAGTCCGTAGGGCTTCCTGGAGGCTGGCGAGGGGCGTGGGCAATGGGCCTGGGCTCTGCGGCCGGGCAAGAGTCCGTATCGGTGAAGGGCAGCTGCATTCATGCCCTGCCCAGGCTCCTGCCGCTCCCCACTTCCTCGGGCCAGTCTTTGGACCCCAGGGCTGGGCGGCGCGGGAGTCCCCGCGGGCAGGCACGCGGGCGCGGCGGGGACACGGGGCGCTGACGAACGCCCCGTCCTTCTGGGCCCAGGTCGTCCATCCGCAACGCGCACAGCATCCACCAGCGGTCGCGGAAGCGCCTCAGCCAGGACGCCTACCGGCGCAACAGCGTCCGATTTCTGCAGCAGCGCCGCCGCCTGGGGCGGCCCGGGCCGCAGAGCGCCGGGAGCCCGCTGTGTGAGTGCGGGCGGGCGGGCCGGGGACCCCGGGACGCGGGACCCCGGGGGCGGGGCGGGGCCTCACCGGCCGTACTGTCTGCCTGCAGCAGAGGAGCAGCCGCAGCCGCAGAGCGACCGCGCGAAGCCGCAGCCGGCGGTGCCCCCGAGGCCCAGCGCGGACCTCATCCTAAACCGCTGCAGCGAGAGCACCAAGCGGAAGCTGGCGCCCGCCGTCTGAGGCCAGGGCACCCCCTCCAGAGGGTGACCTGACCCCTCCGCCCGCTCCCGCCCGCTCCTTGTGTGCGTTTGTATAGAGCCTGGCGTCTGAGCGCCGAGGGCATCCCCGGGCCCCGCCCCACCTCGCTATCCACCGCCCTCAATAAATGTTGCTTGGAGTGGACAGAGGCTCTGCAGAGATGCGGGGCCGGTTGGGCTCCGCCCTTGGAAGTATTTCTGGAATTAAGTGAGGGCTGTGAAGTCTGCTAGGGGGAAGTTGCAAGAACCGAGGTCAGGTTGCATACTGCCCTGGCCTTGGCCAATACCAAGTTTGCACAACGCCAAGTGCAACAGGAACCTCTGGCCCCCACTGGCTGTTTGCACAGAAACTGCAAACTTGAACTCTGGCCCCACTGCAGAGGAGTCCTGAAGAAGGGTGGACACAGTCTGTGGTCAGGGGGATCGGGAAGGTAGGTGACCTTGTTTGTGCACCTTAGTCGGCCGATAAAAGAATTGTCATTTAGGTATAGGGAGGGGGCACCTCTGATTCTTCACCGAGAGCCTGTCCAGTTCGGAGTTGTACCAGAAAGCAAATATTCACTGATGAACACGTCCTCACCACTCACTCCGGCACTGCTGCCAGCCCATGGCCTCAGAGTCTTTGCGGGGGGGGGGGGGGGGGGGTCTTTCCCAAAATGCAGACACACTACCATGCAAACTGGAGCTGCAAATCTTGCAAAAGATGCAGCGTGTCACAAAGGCTGTGGGTGGCAGGGGGAGCTGTTCCCTCCTGGGAGAGAAGCCGCTATGTGAGGATGGGCAAGGCTGGTCCCGAGAGAGAAGAGAAAATTGGCAAGGGGACCGATGCCTCTGAAGAGAACTGTTTGACCGTCCAAGGGTTGAGAGAGGCCTTGAGATAGATAACCACTGTGCCCTTAACGATTTTTGCAGACCCCTGTTTGCTGGAAGAGTCCAGCAACAACAACTGTCATACAAAGCTGTGAGAAAGTTAACTACGGACAACCCCAACCCCCTTGCTTGTTCAGCTGCAATTATAACAAAAATTAAACACAGTATGAGAAAATACTTATTTTCATAATTTTTAGTTTGTTTTTTCAAGCTCAAGTCCTGATCACGTTTTCCCATGTTTTTTGGGTATTTCTGGTCCCCTGGAGGTGGCCATGTGGCGGCCCCACTGTCGCAGACTGACGGGGAGGGCCTGGTGGTGGGTGTGCCTGAGGTCAGGAGGCCGTGCCAGCAGCCTCTGCCATGCACACAGGGTGGGCATGCCTGCAGGCATCTGGGTCTGAGTTCCGGCTGCACCGTTTGTGCAGCCAATTTCTTGAGCCAGACACAGTGCTGGGCTCCTCATGTCACCTCTAGTTCTGACAACAGCCCTGTCAGGGAGGGGCTTTACTGACCAGGACACCAAGGCTCAGAAAATGCAGGTGGCTTGCTTCAAGTCACAGGGCAGGTAGGCGGCAGAGCTGGGAGGTGGAGCCAGGCTTCTCCTTCTGATTCCAAATCCCTGCTGGATCCTCTACCGTATCCTGACCCTGCAGAGCTCAGCTCATGGGTCAGCCCATGGCGGAGGGACGCTGGGAAGAGGGAGTGTGATGCGGCGGCGTCTTCCAGTGCTCTCTGCAGCCCCCCGGGCCTGTGATGGAGGACTGACCAGCTCTGCCCACCCTGGGATGGGAAGACAGGGCCTTGGATCAGAAGCAATGCACGCCCTGTCTCTGGGAACTGACAAGGACCCACCACATCCAGCCCCCCCGCTTCTGGGCTGGGCCCCTCCACATCTCCCCGACCACACTATACTCCAGGCGCCCCCATGTGCAGACACGCCATCACCACAGCTTCTGAAAACCACCCCACTCGTTTAAGTCATTCCCCCCAGTCTTGCCTCAGTCACGTGAGTGACAGTGCTGGTCAAGCCCCCCTGGTCCCAACACACACTGCCAGGTAAAGAAGGAATCTGGGGCCCACAGGAGTTGATTCAAAGCAGAACAGCCCCACTAATGGTCCAGTCAGAAGGCAGCCCAGGCTGAACCCTGCTGTCTCCTCCTTGTCACCGATGGGCTAACCACCAGGGAGCCAATGACAGATGATGAACTGAGGCTGTATGACAGACACCTGCTGGGTCTCCACATCAGGCACAGTGGCCACTCAGGGAAAAAGAACATGGGCTTTGGAGTCACACGGACCTGAGTTTGAATCCTGATGACTCCTTTCCTGGCTGTGTGGCCTCAGGCAGGCCACTTAATCACTCTGAGCCCCAGGTGCCACTCCATAAAATGAGGGGGCTTTTTCCTGCAGGGTTTGTAGGGCCACACTTCCAACATCTGTTCAGGCACACCAGGAGCTGGTCCCCCCGGCCGCATTGTAAACCAGGCTGTCCTGCATTCCTTCCCCAGGAAGTGAGCCTCTGAGCTAGCTGGACCCGGCTGTACCTGCAGTCCGCCTCCCCGGGAAACGAACTGCCGGGGTTGGGTCATTTCCCGTGTCTCAGGATATGCATTCAGGCTCCAGCTGGGCCGGGTGCCTTCCCAGGTAATGGCCTGCAGGTCGTCTCTCCCTCTGGCAGCCTCCCTTCATTTGTATCAAAGTCTTTTCTCCACTGCTTCCCGAATGGGCCACCAGGTCAGGGTCCTCAGCCTTTCTGCACCCTAGTCAGGTTAATTCCCCCCAATTTGGGAAGTATTCACAATTTTGGGTCACTAATTCGAGTGATGATAAAGATTAAGAACACAGATGGATGGATGTGCCTTCAAATGACACCCCCCAGGGGGAAAAAGCTACAAAGGAAAGGACGTTGGGACAACTGGCAAAACTGGAGCGTGAGCGGTAAACTCGATGAAAGAATTACATGAACGTTCGATCACTGGGGTTGGCGACTAAACCATGGTTACTATTCTTAGAAAATGTGCCCCGCAGAATTTAGGGGTAAACAATATATGTAACTTTCCTGCACGTGGCTCAGAAAAAAAATGATGCACAACGTTTATATACATACATTATAGATACTCACAGACATTCAATCATACACACTGATAGGTAACGCTGTGCACACACACACACGCACACGAGACGGGGGAGAGAAAGCAAATACATGATAAAACACAGGGGTAAAATGTTAATATGAAAATCTGGTGAGAGGGCACATAAGTGTTATTTGTACTATTTTTATTTTTGCAACTTTTCTATAAATTTGAAATTATTTCAAAATAAAGCTAAAAAAAATAGACAACCTCGAAACCTCAACTTACTTTGCCTTGGAGAGCCTGTGTTATTTGTTTTGGGCTTTCCATTCTAAGTCCCACCTTTCTGGGTTCGTGGAGGCAGAGAGAGACAACACCGGAATCCTGCAGGGTGTGACTGCGTCTCCAGCTGAGGCACCTGAAACTGGGGACCATGTGAGACCACACGGGATACGATGCAAAAGGGGACAGGACAAATGTGTGCGCACGTGTCCCCCTCCACGAATACACACACTGTCTCTCTGTTTCTCTGTTGATTGATTTAAACTTCAAGACGGCAGCCCCAATGCCTATGGGGTCAAGCAGGTCTGTGAATGAGTGAAACAGGCCAGGCATAGGAAAAGTCAACTTTCTCGATTTTTACTGGACTATGATAAAGCATAAAATGTCATACAAACAGGTATGATACTGCAAATTATATTTCTGAGTCAAAGTGGAAAAACTTGAAAAACAGAACATTTAATAATTCATTATCTCAGCTCACAATCCCCTGGGTCTAGAGGATTCTGGTCTTACACCCCACGGGGCACTGCCAGGAGTGTGTTCTTCATCACGCCGTGATGTGGAGTACAGAGTCCCACTGGGAGTCCTTTAACTGGGAGCAGAACTTGGTTTTACTCAGTTTCATAATGGAAAACAGCTGCTCACAAATGTAGGTGCTCCCGAACATGGAGAGGATCTTCGCGCAGTGAGTTTTATATCTCGGGTAGCTACTCCAGAGGTATCTGTAGAATTCCGGTATCCCAACCTTGTCGTATTTAGTCTTCAGGACCGTGTTGCACTGCAGATCAATGACCTCCATCTGCAGCGCTTCAGGCACGCTCTCGATCTTCATGGAGAAGGGGGAGCTGAACAGGGTCAGCTCGCTTTCATAGAGTTTGAACTCAGACAACCTTTTCTGGAATTCAGTCTTTAATTCCACAATTTTGGGAATGTAGTTCAGGCCATCGCTTTCATTCCTGGAAACTGATTTCAGGGTGGGAAAGTGGGCCAGATTATTCCTCGCCAGATGAGTTTCCCAAAGACACAGTTTTGCCAGGAATGCCCGAATCAAGTCGTACATTTGCGTAACGATCTGTGAATGGCCTTGGAGAGAGATGTTCAAAGTGTTCAGGTGCGTCGTCATATCGACCAAGAAGGCCAAGTCTTTGATCCAATCTTGAGAGCTCAGTTGGGGCAAGGGCTTTCCTCTGGATGACATGAAGGAATCGATTTCTTCCAAGGATTCAAAAAATCTCTTCAGCACCAGCCCCCGGCTGAGCCACTTGATCTCCGTGCAGTACAGAAGGCTGCCATATTGGCTGTCCAGTTCATAAAGCAACGTCGTGAACTCACTGTGGTTCACTCCGCGGGAGCATATCCAGTTCACCGAGCTGACGACCACGCTCATGACGTGGTCCATCTTTAACTTCTGAGCGCAGAGTGATTCCGGGTGAAGGATGCAGCACATGGACTTCAGATCTGAGCCCTTGCCAACCATCGCCACTTTGGACTTGAGTTTCGTAACAAGTCCGTCGTTCGCGTCTACCATCGCAGGGGTGCCCGTTGAGGCCACGCTTACTAATTTTGACCAGTCGATATTAAACTTTTTAAGACTTTTCTCAACCCTCAAAAATATCTCATTTCCAGATTTTGTACCTGTCATGGGCACTGTATCCAAAAGTTCTTCCGACACATCAAAATTCTCATCAACACCACGGATGAATATGGCCAACTGGGTGGTATTATTTATATCTGTGATCTCATCGATTGCAACAGAATATGCCACAAATGACTTGATTTTTTCACGTAGCTTCTCCCATAAGTGCCCGGCCACATCTTCTACAGGCTGCACGGCAGCAGCTTCAGCGGGACTCACGTTTGCAAACCCTTGATGTTGCTCGGGACACACGATTTCTGAGGACCCCAGGAGATACTTCCTGAGGCCTTTTTTGAGCTCGTGAAGCTTCTCATCGCGCATCTTCTCGGTGTACTGGTCATAGTGCTTGCTGTGGTTGGTCTGATAGTGGCGTCTTAGGTTGTATTCTTTCGACACTGACATGCTCTGTTTGCATATTAAACAGGTCGGGATATTCTGCACGTCCACGAAGAAATACGCTCTCTCCCACTTCTCTTGAAATACACGGCCCTCCTGGTCTATCTTTCGTTTTCCCACTTTTGACAGAGACATGGACATAAGAAATATTTTACTTTTCTCTTAACTCTACTATTGGAAAACGAACAGCAAAAGCATGAGATGATGAAACTGAGAGAGAGAAAGCGGTGGTTAACTGGAGAATGCTCCTCCAGCCCCCAGGATAGCTGACAGCTCCAGCTGGAGGGAACATGGGCCCCCGTGGCTGGATCTTCAGATTTCTTTAAAAAACCCGGAAATTGATTTTTATGAACAAATCCCTGGCTTTTCAATGTTGGCCGCTATACTTATTCCCGTTTTTAAAAGGTATGTGAGCCAAACAAAGGCATCTTTGGTGCCATTTAGCAGGACGTTTGCCACATCTGGTTTAAGCAGGAATCACTGGCAAGTACATTTACATTTTAAAGTACATTTTTTCACTTGATTCTCAAGAGAACCTTGAAATAGCAGAGAAGGGAATGGGCACAGAAGGCAGATGGCTTACTTGCTGTGAGCCATAAAAGTCTGTGGGGATGGCCACAGAAATGCACAGAAGGGGCTTGTTCTCAATTTACAGAACCAGGCCACAGTGCAGGTGAGCTTTACTTCAAGACACACGGATCTAAAACTTCACCGGAAGGAAGCGCAGGCCGAGACAGAAAGCCAATTTTGTGGTGGCCCGGGGCTGGGGCTCCGGAAGGGGAAGTGACTGC